CTAAACACTTGCACTAAGCTATACCCCTCAACCTCTAAGTCTTTGTTCTGTTTGTATGTGTGTACATACATCTTCATGTATGTGCACCTGTGTGTCCATGGGGGAGTGGTCAGAGGTCAAAGTCAAATCTCTTCCTCAACTGTTCTTTATCTTAAGTTTTTAAGACAAGGTCTCTGAGCACAGAGCACACTTGTTGAACTACACTAGCTGTCCAGAGGGCCTTGGTGAGCTTCCTTTTTTGCTTCCTCAGCCAAGCACTCAGTGTTTTACATGGGTGTTGGAGATCCTCCCCAGACTCAGGGTTTAAAAGCGCTGGCTGCTTGTGTAGAAGACTTGGGTCCAATTCCTAGCATCTACATGGCAATTCACAAAGTCTATAACTGCTTTCCTGATTATCTTCTGGTTTCTATGGGCAAAACACCCATACACATAAAAGCAAATTAGCCAGGTGGTGGTGGTACACTCCTTTAATCCAAGTGCTCAGGAGGCAGAGGCAAGCAGATCTCTGTGAGTTTGAGGCCAGCCTGGTCTACAGAGCAAGATCACTCCATAGCTACTGAGAAACCCTGTCTTGAAAAACCAAAACCAAACCAAACCAAACCAAACAACAACAATAACAACAACAACAACAACAAAACAACCAAAAAAACAAAAACAGGTTCTCATGCTCCTGTGGTTGAGAAATTTTCCCAACTTTAATTTTGTTCTGTTTTTTAAGGTAGAGTTTTGCTATGTTTGCAAAGTGGCCTCAAACTCAAGAGCCACTTCAGCCTTCCGAGTGTTAGGATTGCAGGCGTGACTCCCTACACTGGGCGTCTAAGCTCAAGTCTTGAAGAAGCAAGGGGCAGCAAGTTGAAGGGGCTAAGGGCTTCCCCAGCAGCCAGAGCAGCACTTGGGAGACTCACTGGGGACCAGCCCATCATTCATTTTCACCAGAGAAGGACAAAAGCTGAGACCAGGGTGAAAAACGAGGGCACGACATGGCATGTCACCTAAGATTTACTCTCAAAGCTTGCCTATAAGACTTGTTGATGTCAAACACTGCCCACAATGGCACCTATGTATTCTGTGGGATAAGCTTTAACCGAAAGCTGATGAAGCATAAACAAAAGGATATATATAATTGATCCAAAGCTTCATAGGCCTGCTTTTAACTACTCTCTATATAGCCTTCTGCCTGGAATTTGTGGTTCCAAACCCAAAACTAAAGTCACAGGAATGCCTGTGTGAGATGCACTGGGTCGCATGAAGCTGTATCTGAGAAATAATTTTCTTTGAGCGTTGCCTGCACCCTTTTCTTCTGATGTACTCTGGGATGGAATATTCCTTGGTATCCTTGCAGCCAGGGACAGAGTGCATGAGTCAAGTCCTAACCTAGGGCTTTCCTTCTCTCAAAGCACTTAGTGTCACCAGCTGCAGAATTTCTAAGTTTATGATTCTGCCCTGCTGCCTATGCTGGATCAACTCCGCTCCCCTTTCCTCAGAGTGCTGCTTCCTTCTCCACAAATGCAGCTTAGGCATTAGCTCCTCTGAGACTTTCTGTGAAGCGTGGTTTGGTTTAGAACTTGCTGTTTGCAGTGTGTCCAGAGGAGGAGGTTATAATTGTCCTTATTACATTGCACAAAATCTTTGGCTTTAGTTCTTTCTCCCGTCTCTAACTTCACACTGCAAATCCTGTGAAGATAAAGACATCGTCTACTTCAGTTTTTCTCTTTCTGAAGAAAATCTTGATCCTATCCAGGTGCTTGCCCCTACTCCACACTGTCTGCAGGACTCCAGAGAGCCCCTTTCCATCCCAAGAAAAAGACTCGATTCTGACAGTGTAAGTCAGTTTCTCTCAACTAGGGGTCAACATAACTGGTCAGACCACAGTGAGGGACTTTGGTCTGATCATACACTCCATGATTAGGAGAGAAACAAATGATGAGGATGGAAAGTTGGACTGTAGTCACTTTGAAGTTACAGATGGCTTTTATTTCTAACAGAGCCAGGCATGTCACGATTAAAAAGGAGAGCTGGTCAGCCGTGAGATCTGCAGGCTAGACAATAGTGAGCAGGACACAGTACTCATGCAACCATGAAATGGCTATTGCTTAAGCTCTTGAGCGAGGTGACCTGGAGTGACATCCTTTCTATCCTTGAGTAGCTGGTCCCATCCCTTTATAACCTAGAAGGGACTCAAGGATATATCTTGAATAGTTATATTATAACTGTTTTCTGGACTATTACAGATGACAGGGCTATGATTGTGAGCCAGCATTCCTAAATATCTGTCACTTGAATGTCTATGGTTACAATGATGAAAAATTAGCATTTAGCAAATACAAAATTGTTTTGGTTTTTAAAAGATATCTGAAGGTAATTTTTCATAAGTATTTTAAAATCCACATATCTGTGTCAATGCCTGTGTGTGTCCATGTGTAACCAGTGTGTATGTGTGTGTGCGTGTTGGACGTTTACGGGTCTATGTGTGTGCGCACAGGTTCATGTGGAGACCAGAAGTTATGAATACCGTTTTCTGTGAAGACATAATGCACCTATGCCCAGCTGCTCCAGAAAGGCAACCCAGGACAAACCAAGGTGATGATTGCACTAAGGTCCAACTTGGCGGACTGGTGAGTTTTTACTGTGGTCACTGACAGAAGTGTGGGTGAGAAGCACTCACAGGACCAGGGACGACTCAAAAGCAGCTGCATCATAGAAAAGCCAACCCCAACTCAGGTCACAACTCAGGACAGCTACATTCCTGGAACTTTCTGCACACTCTGCAGGCAGCTTGACACATTGGAGAAATTTCTTCCCCATGGCTTGGTTGGTCAGAGTTCCTTCCCCAGGCCTTTGTTTAATTGTGCTTTCAAGCTGGGGAAGGAATGGATATCCTCTACATTCCATTTTTTCCCCAGGGAAAGTGCAAAATTCACGAGCTTCAACCTCTACCCTGAAGGGAGCGTTTCCATTCCGAGGGAACTGCTGTACAGCATCCACAGTGCAGTCACTTCTGCCTTATTTGTTTGTTTGTTTGTTGAGAGGAAGTCTCTTGCTGAGTTTGGGGCTCACTTAACCAGCTAAACTGGCTGGCCAGAGAGCTCTGTGGAAATCTCTGGTCTTGGCTCCCCTAGCACTGAGGTTGCATTCAGTGCCTCATGAGCCTCTTTCTGCCTGTCCTAAGGCGAATTCAAGTCCTCCGGCTTGTGCAGGAAGTGCTCTGCAAACTGTACCAGCACAGTGTGCAAGTGGAGCTCAGGGGACAATTTGCTGGATTCTCTTTTTTTCTTCCTAGTAGGTCTCAGGAATCACCTCAGGCTTGGTGGTATATCCACTGAGCATCTCTTCTGTCCAAGATCCAACTTCTTACACATTGCTGGCTTGGGATTTGGTAATCTTTGATGTGGTAGCAACTGTGGGCTGAATGGCAGAGGTCTCCTGTGAAATCCCCTTGATCAGCCTTTCAGGGGTTCAAACCGGAGAAACTGCCTCCTCTTCCACACCTGACTACTGTTATCCTCAGTTTCTTTTCAGTGTTTTCCCGAAAGGAATGAATGTACCAGGGGAGTTCGATGAACTAGGTTTCTTTCCTTTGTTCTTCGCCACCCTTCCAAGTATTTCCCACTCTCCCCTCCCAAACACTCCTGGGCGGGGCAGGGGGGGGGGAATGACGGTGAAATTTTCAATGAAGAGAGGTCTCCTGGGCTTCCCAGGCATCGCACTCATGTCTTTCTGAAAGGTACTTGTTGCTATAGTGGCTTTTGTAGTTTGAAAAGCACTCCAGTCTTCCAATAAGCTTATATTATTTTAGAATTATCCTTATAAAAGATTACTTTTCAAGGTTTGCTATTTCCGTACCCAGTGCTTGACTCTTGAGAAAAAAAGACATTCTGTAAACATATGACTTAAAATTGAGTTTTGTGAATCTGTCTTTTTTTTTGTTGTTAAAATGGAAAACATTCTTTTTAATAACTAGAGGTAAAATATAGATAGAAAATTTGGAAGACATTAGCAACCTTTATTCCCTCCCCACCCCCCGGCAAAGCAGTTTAATTAGGAACTATTTTTTTTTTTTTTTTTTTTTTTTTGGTTTTCGAGACAGGGTTTCTCTGTGGTTTTGGAGCCTGTCCTGGAACTAGCTCTTGTAGACCAGGCTGGTCTCGAACTCACAAAGATCCGCCTGCCTCTGATTTGCCATGAAACATCTGACAATCGCCATAGTATAAGATATCCTGCCGTCTTGGCAACACTACCAATTTGTTGCAACATTTTAAGCTATTACATTACTACGGAAAGAGCGATTTTGTACATGAATTTTTAAAAATAAAACAAAACAGATTTTTTCCCCCCTTAAGCAATCCATAACTTAAGGAAAGTTGCTCTACAGGAGCTGAGAATGAGAACTTTGAAATCCTTGAGGGAAGAAGGAAGCTCTAGGGCTGAACGTCTCCGGTTGCACCCACCAGGCCGCTCTTGCAGTATGGATGTGCGCGTGCACGGGCGCGACCGAAAGTGTCCGAGTGCGCGCGTGAGATTGTGCACGCGACCCCGTGCGTGTGCATTCTCCCGCCCGCAGTTCCTGATCTGCTGCGCCGGCCTGGCGGACTCCAGGCTCGGGCTTCCCCCGTGCGGGGGCGGGCACAGCGGGTAGCCCGGAGCAGCTAGGACACAGACGGTCGTGCGCGCCCCGGGGCTGCGGTGGGCACCATTTTCTGCTGTGCTCAGGACAGGCACATAAAAGGGAAGGCGGCAGGGCCGTGGCTGTCCCGGTTCCCTCAGATGCCCCGGCCGCAGGTTTATTATTACAGTAGGGCTGCACCGCCTCTCCCTGGCGGGCCGCCTCCGCGCCTGGCACGCCCCCAAACCGCCGCCTCCGCCTCCTTATTTGTCTGCAAAGCCGCCGCGCGGCGAGGCGGAGAACCCGCCAGAGTGCGCGCTGCGCTCCCGGGACTGCTCGGCGCGGTCTCCCCCCCCCCCCTTCCCCCCCCCCCCCCCCCAGGGCCCAGTGCCCTACGGCGGCGACGGCGCGGGTGCGGGGGCCGGGGAGCGCGCGCGTGTTGGCCGCGCGCCCACGGGGCCGCGAGCCGCCGATTCCTGCCGAGTAAGCAGTCTGGCTCCGCGGTGGCAGCAAGGCTGGGGCGCTGGCCGCGCGCCAGCTCCATCAGAATTAGCTCATTGTTCACTAGTACACTAGCAGAAGAGAGGGGAGGAGGTGGGAGGAGAAGGGGGGACAGAGGGGGGAGAGAGAGAGAGAGAGAGAGAGAGAGAGTTGAGATTGAGAGATCGGTTTAGAGGAAGAGAGAGACGCAAGACACACACTTGGAGAGAGCGCGCAAGGCAGGGAACCCTTCCTTCCCCTCCTCTTCCGAGGCTGCACTTCTTGGAAGTGAAGCGGGTTGGGGTTTTGTTTCCCTTCCCCCCTCCGCCCTCCTCTTCCTCCACCCCTTTCCCCTCCCCCTCCCTCAGCTGTCTTTCTAGCATGATGCCCTTTTTCACCCACATTTGTGTTTCAGGTGTAGAGAGGAGAGAGAGTGAACAGGGAGCGGGGCTTTTGTCTGTAAGTATATGCCTTTCTCATCCCCAGCTGGGAGCGCTGCTTTCTCTTTTGTGTCAATTCCTTGCCTTTGCGCTAAACTGGACCCTCCAACCTTGCAGAGTTCATGCTTTTTCCCCTCTGAATTTTAGGGCTAAAGCTGACACCTTGGAGAAATTATGTCATTTTGCTCCTGCTGCATTAAGGCTGGAATTTAACTCGACCTCCCCCCTCCTTTGTTTAATGCACAAGTTGAGAGAAACGAATTCTTTTGTGAAGGGGTGGGGTTTTGCTCGCTGGTGGGGTTAATTTTGTTCTTGCTCATTGTTAATAAGGAGCCTTTTTGTTCCTTTGCATTAAATGCACTTTGGTGCATGCAAGCTTCCCTCTCCCCGTGTAAAATCCGGACACTTGATTACTCTTTCAATGTTGCTGCTGCGGCCGTGGGTCTTTCATGTTTTCTCTCCTGCAACACTTTTCTCTGTATTTTTTTTTTTTTTTTTTTTTTTTTACAAAGCAGTTTAACTTGGGTTCGGGAGTATTAAAAAGAAATGACTGCTTTTTCTCGGTGCTGCTAATAACCTGATTTGCATTTGTGTTTCTATAACAACATTATAGGAAAACTCGAAGTGCCTCTGATACCCGTTTGGAGAACTTTTAGTTTTTCCATTCATCTTAATTTTGCCATAACTTACATTAACAAAAGAGTTGTGCTGTAGTGGAATAAAGGCGGAGGGCGAGCCACCGAAGGATCTACATGAATGTTTATTGGGTTTGGGGAGAAGGGCATAATGGTGTATGTTCCTGGCTTTCTCCCCTGTGTAGGTTCTTTCCTTCTTTCTTTTTCTTTCTTTCTTCTTCTTTTTTTTTTTAAACACGGAAGGTTATGTAATGCAGTGCCATTTCCAAAAATATCCACTCTGAGGCATCACACTACGGTGGAAGGCTGATTCTTGTTCTGCCGTCTTGATTGCAAATACACTGCCAGTAGTATGTCTGGGAACAAAGAGCAGCCAGCAAACAATCTATTTTTATCACTTGGGTCTACTTTTAAGTTGCCAAACCTTTTGAACTGCAATTTAAAGATGAACCAGTCACTAAGAATAGCCCAGGACTGCAGAGACAGGTGCCAGGGATTCCTTTGTCCCCTATGTAGACCTGTAGACCACTCGGGAAGCTCTTTCGGGGACTCTAGTGCTTAGAATAATTTGCATGGAACTCATCTCCAGTTCACATAGTGCTTGTCTGTGACCCCTGAGGAGGCATTTTTTTTTTTTTTTGCATTTGCTAACCTGTGGTGAAACAAAGTGTCTACTGTATTTAAACATATTTTGCAGATTGGTCTCCCTGGACTGAAGCAAGGGAGAACAGAAGCTCAAGACTATTAAGATTCTCAAAATGGTAAGACATGGTCATCAGAAGAAATTCTCAGTAGCTCCTTATCAATAATTCCGCATAAGTAGCAGCCACCCACCTTCATCCTGCCTGGTTCTCTATTGTTCCTACCCCATCTGACCTTTCTCAGGTCTGTCTCCAGCATGTGGAGCTTGCCGGTGCAGCGGGCTATATGGAGGGCATGTGGTGAATTAGACTTGCAGTCATTTGGAATAGGAAATGAAGATTCTTGTTTTCAGAGCAAGGATGTTTTAGCTCGAACAGCAGGAACTATTCTGTTCTTTAAGAAGATTGACGTGTTGTGACATACATGCGGGGAGAATGGCAGCCGGGCTCAAACCATGGGTCTTCTATACAGATAGCCAGAACTTACCCCAAACTATGAGTCTGTGCCTAAGGAACAAGCTATAGTATGTGCTGTCCTTAATAGCAGAAGATAGGATTTTTTTTAGTGAGTGCATCATGTATTGTTGTTAAAATGTATATGTATATTTTTTTCTGACTTACAACTTCCTTTAGAAGAGACATTTCAGTTTTAGAGGGCAGGCATATTAGCCTCTAAATTAAAATATAGTGATTTCTCCTAAGAAGTGTAAACCAAAGAGAGGATAGTTACATTTCTGATTAAATGAAGCAACATAGAAAATATAAATTAAAAGTAGCTAGATACATATGTTAAACTTCCGGGGGAGGAAACAAAAACGTTTGCAGCTTTCTGTGCAACCTGCCCTCCTGGGATGCTGATGGGCCTCCATGCACTTGTCTTCTACGTACAATGTGTGCTTTCCTAATTTGCCTCTTATTTTTTTTTTCTTTTAAACAAGGGTAGAATTTAGTGAATTAAAATTGGATTTGATATACTTCATGTTTTCTTTGAGAACAACCAAGAATTAGCTTCCAGGGAGAGAGATGAGTCAGAGGCAGTTAAATGAGTTCAGATTGGCTTTCATTAAGAAGTGAGCTTTTTAATTTTTTAACATATGCCTTGCCTGTCATTTCAACAAGTGGGTGTCAAAGCACTGAGCAAAGTCGGTCTGGCTTGGACTGGCTTGCTGATGATGAAATTAAAGAATTGGGGCAGAAAGACAAAAGAGGTAAACATAAAATCAAACTAATCAATGACCTCTTTGCAAGCAGTTACCCTCATAGCCCCTTCCCAGTTAGCCACTTTTGCAGAGTTGCAAGGTGGTGGTGGAGTGTAGCTCTCGTTATTCAGTGCTCTTGCTGGAGGGGCCGCCTCACTTGCCTCTGCCCTCCAGCCCACTCCCTTTGTATAGCTGTAGAGAGACCACAGAGACTGTATGTTGCAATGTATCAAGTGATAGTTTTAGTTAAACATAAATAGGACCATTGAGCCCTGCCAAGTCCAGGCCTATAGATCAAGGTCAAAGCACAGCACCAGGCTTCTGTAGGAGGGGGTGGAATGTGCTCTGTGGAAGGCAGGCATGCATGCCAAGCTGTGAACGAAAGCTGGAACCACTGGAAGGCAGAAAAGCAAAGACAAATTATTATCAAACACTAATCTTCCTCATGTGTCCATGTTGTGTGGTGGAAGAATGGACGGTCACAGTTTGTTTCTCTTGGGAGGATTTTACTCATGGAAAAAAAAAAAGAAAGTTCTCACAACTTCTCGGTGCTCCTTCCATCAAGACGTCAGTCCCTTCTGGCACAAGCCCATTGCCTGAAATAAAACCCCCGGCAGTTATTGTCTGAGGGTGATTCCAAGTCACTTTCTAGAAATTCTTGTATCTGGAAAGTCTAAGTTCTTTAAAGTCCTTGTGTGTAGTATTGTAAAAAAAAGTTTTAAATATATTTTTTAAAGACTGATATTAGAGATACCCTCAACCCTTTTCTTTTTTTTCTTTTTTTAACAAAATGAAGTTCATTTCCTTTCTTTGATTAAAACTGGGATTGCTTTGTAGAACTCTGTATCTAATTTACTTGAAGATTTGGCTCACATACAGTAGAAATTTCTTACAGGAAGCGGCCTGATTAACTACTGGCCATCTCTGGAATGAATGTGTGTGTGTGTGTGTGTGTGTGTGTGTGTGTGTGTGTTGCTTTTTCTCTGAAGCATATATTTTCATCTACATGTATAAAACATTACAGAGAATCTAATCTCCATATGCTATAAGGGTTCATTTCAAACACAAATTTATAATCTTTTCAATCCAGCGTAAGGAATTAGTCAGTGAACTGTAGACTTCTACAGGTTGGGATTAAATATCTGGTCTTTTTACACACTCTAAGTTGGTAAGGTGCACTGGTTAGTTCTACTTGACACAGATTAAAGTAGCCTGGGTGGAGGGAACCCCAATTGAAGAATGGCCTCAGTTTTTGGACAGGTTTGTGGGGCATTTTTCTTGATTAATGATAGACGTGGGAGGGTCCAGTCCACTGTGTGTAGTGCCACCCCAGACAGGTGGTCCTGGGTTGTATAAAAAAAATCAGGATAAGCAAGCTGTGAGGAGCAACCCAGTAAGCAGTGTTCTTCTGTGGTCTCTGCTTCAGTTTCTGCCTTCAGGTTCAAATCTTGGCTGCTGCCCTGGCTTCCCTCAATGATGGACTTCTAGGCCAAATGAATCCTTTCTTCCCCAGGTTGCTTTAGGTCATAATATTATTACAGCATCCGAAAACAAACTAGAACTTAGGGTTTCACAATAGTAAATTGGAGGCATGCCAGAGTCATAGAGTGCTGTTTGTATTATTACAATAAATAGATAAATAAGATGATGTGACTGTCTCCAGCCCTGTGCCACCTTTCACAGCATTTGTACATCTGAGTACAACAAAGAGGGTGCCAGTCACGTGTGATGGTTTTGGAGGTGATGCCTGAGGTAGTAACAACCCAAGAATATTGTTAAATTGTTAGTTCTAAGCATATTTTCTGCATCTTTATTGTCCAGAATATTTTTATCAGTGACTCATTCTCCAGTTCTTTCAGGCCCTTGCTTTTATTGTTTGCAATTTGTAGGATTTTGTATAGTTTTTTAATTACCGAGAGTTTACAGCAATCTTCAGGATTTTTTTTTTTGTATTTCATGAGGGTTTTTTGCTAATTTTTTAATTTCTAGACCTGTAATTTTATGATGTGCCGTCGATTCATGTAGTTTATTTTAAAGGTGCTTGGCTTGTATATGTCAAAGAAGAGAAGACATTTCAGAATATATATTGAAACTAGTTTGAAAAACCAGATTTTTAATCCACTGCCAAAGCTAAAGTCTCGGTTTTACCCTCTGTGGAGTAAACCTGCCTCCCAGTATGTGTGTGCCATGAACTCCCAGTGACATGAGCATGAGCTTGGAATGTTTTAACAGAGATGTAGGAACTGGAACAGTTTCCCTTCTCTCTGTGGCTGATGCTGGGCATTGAGAAAGATGGGTTGGCGCTATTGGACCGCTCAGGCTGCTCTGCTTCTGTACAGGTTGTGAAGGAGCATCCACGGGCTCCTAAGAAGACCCCTCAGCAGTGCCCCCTCCCCCTTAACATAAACTTTCTGGCTCAAAGAAAAAGGCTAGACTTGGAGAGGGTTGGTCTTACTGGCTGTCTGTGCCACTAGGTTTGGGGTGTAAATTGACAAGTAGCTGCAGTGACTTTTGCTACTACCTGGGAGGTAATTTTATATGGTGCCATCTTGTCTTTCCCCAGGCCTTGCTGTGTATGAAGGGGAGAATTAGCAATTGTTTGGGAGAAGTAGGACAGAAGAGATAATCAGTCTGTCTGGGCTTAGCCTCAGTCAGCTTCCTCCTGATCTATAGAGATAGTCGGGTTGGAAATGGTATTCACGTACCTACCGTCTTGGTGTAACTAATCTTGGAATAATTAGCTATTCAAAGTGTGTCCCACTTTAACACTGTATTTCTTGAAAAGTTAGATATAGGTCAGGTTATCATAAATATACAAATGGAATTCACTTCATTTTAAATCTTAAATTCTTCCCAAATCAGAAAATGCACTTCTAAAATATATTTTGCTCAGATGAATGGGTAATCCTGAAATAAGAATTTTAAATATTCATTTACCTGGTCCCTAAATGTCACGCCTTGAAAGGTGGTGCTGCCACATCCTTGGTCCCCAGCTCTCTGATCAGTGCTCTTCGTGGCTGGAGAGTCTTTTAAGACCAGGTCCTTACAGCTTCAGCGAAATGGAAGACTGAAATAATTACCTGAAAAACTATGTTATATATATATATAAAAAACCTTTGATTTCATCTGATTCAACTTGGTAATTCAGATGTTGCTGGAGTGCTGTGGTGGTGGAAGGGTTTGCTTGCTTTATCTGTGTAATTCTTCTGCTGTGCAGAAAGGGCTAAGGATAAGGCAATCTTATCAGCAACTCCAATCCAGATATGCAAAGGGAGAAAGATTCAAGTGGGCTTGCACTGCGTTATCTTGTCTGATGATGTGTTGCAAGATTCCAACTTTAAACTGCTCTGCTGGCTTGCACTAGAAAACAGCTTAGCACTGGGTCTAAATTTATCCCAAATGGATATTTAGGAACATTCTTATCCTTGAGAGAATTTCAATAATATTTCAATAATATTTCATCTCATTGGCTGAAAAAAATTCACAATGCTTCTGTCTAGTGCATTGTATACATTGCCAGCCCTGTTAGTTTGTGACTTAAACATTTAAATTTCTCCCCACTACATTCTCAGTCTCAATCCATTCGTTGGTAGCAATGGCATGCTACTAACCCCAATGATGTAACTTGTTAGTAGTGCATAAGCTTTTTTTCATATTGCCCAATTGATTATAGGCCTACAGAGGAATTATCTACTTAATATTTCATGCTTAGAAATAGTAAATATGTAGTAGAAGCTTAAAAAATATTTTGTGTGTCCATACTAATATCTATTAAGTTGGATGTTTTACAGTGTAGCTCTAATGAGTTACCATGATTAGTTTTTGTGAAGTAGAAGTAATTTGCCTCATTGACCCCCTCCTTGTAAAGTGCCAGGGACCCGAAATGAATGTAACCTTCATTTACACAGCAAACTGCTTGCC